GAGTCATTAGATATAATGTAGCAGGAACTCCTTTGCATATTAGACGACATACCCCTAATAAGCCAATCCTCCCAGAGCTTACAGGGCTCTTCTTACAGGGGCTACTGTAAGCTCTTGGAGGATTAGCTACATTAGGGGTGTGTTGCCTAATATGCAAAGGAGCTCCTGCTACAAAAAGAGCCCCCACAAGTGTTCTGAGCGCTTTCCAGTCTCTTTTTGTGGGCTTTGCATTCTTTCTACATCATAGTCCCACAGCTAATGTAATGTCTGGTCCGGTCAAAGTGGAAATGTGCAAAAGCTTACCTAGTGCTTCGCGGTATTGGAAATCGGGGGATGCTGCGGGTCAAAATGCGGCCGCGCAGCAAGTAGTGGGAAACTGACAAATACAATCGGTGGAAAGGGAAGAGCGAGGGCGGCGCAGCTGCTTGTGGGAAATCAGTCAACTGGACGGCACTTAGCACACATAATCTGGGTTTAACAGAACCTTCTCAGGTAATAGTTGAGATTTTGTGCTGGTTCTGGCAACAAAGTACTCTCCCCACTTTAGACTCAGGTTTCCTTTGAACCTGATAAAAACACCGCAGGGACACAATACAGCGTTGGCTTAATTATTATTTTAAACATGTTAAAAATACAGGTCACATGAAAATAGGAAAACACAGTTTTTACAAAAAAACAAAAACCAAACTGCCAAAGAGGACATAAGAAAAATAGCATGTATATATTTTAGATATATATATGTATATATAAAATCTACAGTATTTACTAGTCTCAATACATACTTCAGGAACAGCCATCTTCCCGCTGCTTGCATCCAGTAAATTGTACAGCTTTTATTTCGTTATATGCACTATGAATCACAAAGGCATGGTTTAAAACGTTGGGATTATTACATCGCCACATCGCTATTTACATACATTTCTACGCCGCAGTAAGTAAAATCAGAACTAAAAGGTGAAACGACAAGCTCTGCGTTTTGTCAGTTTGAAAACCTTCTTTGGGGCAGTACTTTTTTTGCCGCGTTCTGCCGGTGGCGGGGGGGGGGGGGGGGGGAGACTTGGCAAACTTATTAAAAATTACATCGGATTCGCTATATACACAAAACTATCATGTTCGCTAAACACCACTGCCATTTTCTTTTTCCTTTTTAATGGAGGTCAGTACCATAAAAGATTGACGGCGCCAACAGGCAGAGAATGTAGGCACTGAAACACACTGGGCTGTAACCCGAACAGTGTTTCTGCAGCTGCAAGAGGGACAAGGGATGATTGGGTTTGGATCCTTTTCTTACTGCAGCCCCTGTCCCTCATGGCTCTGTATCCACATGATCCCCAAAATAGCTCTTTCAGGGATCAAAAGGAGCCTCTCCCCCCACCCTTGTGCCTGCAGAAAAGCTGCTCAGAACGAAGCCATTGTTTAGAGCAGATCTGTGCAACACAGTGAAGCAAACACATCCCGCTGGCTCTATGGTAGCCCACCAGGGACTCTATTAAAGCTCCTGTTTTTGCCCACTTGGAGTTGCAAAAACCAGGGCGGGGAGGGGAGGAATGGTCCTCAAAAACAGGACACAATATACTGCCAGCGGGCTGTGTTTGGCTTTGCGGTTTCTCAAGTTGCTAAGGCACGAGGGACCAGCCTTTCTGTACTTTCAGATTCCTTCCTTTCGCTGCAGCCGTGCAAACTTTTTCAAAGCAAACGATGAAGCAAAAGAGTGGCTCGCGAACAAGACTCACTCTTCTACCGCAAGCTGGAGCCCAAACAGCATTCTGAATATTTCCCATCAGAAATTCGCAGCTTGGGGGACGCAGTTGTAGACTACACATCACACTGTATAGCTGCCACGGGGTGGGGGGCCAAACTGGAGTTATGATAGAGAGTCTCATGTTTCTTTTTTCCTCTATAGGGCTAAGGAGGGCAAAGAGCAACAGCTGAGCAATTGGTGAACTCACTCTGGGTCTTCTGCAGGCTCATTACTCTTGTATGCAATCCAGCGCTTTCAGGGCGAGGCCAGCCATCAACCCTAAAGTAGAAGGGAATCAACCCCCCCCCCAATCTGCTGCCATCTGATAACAGCTGCCAAGCCCGCGCTAAAGACGTTGCATCCCTCTGCCCATCTTGGAGCAAAGAACTCAGACTCGCCAAGATGCTAGTCCTGTCGAAGTCACGTTTGTTCTGGCGAGACCCCCGTAAGCAATCAAATTAGTGCTTGGACACCCTGGTCCGATGCTTCTGCTGCACATACGGAGTGCCGAGAAAGCACGAGCTCCTCTTTTCCGTTCTGTGTGTCGCAGACCGTTTCCTGAAGCAAACACAGTAGCCGCTGCTCGATTTTTGTGCAGCTTTCTCGGCTTGTGGTCAGTGGGACAACTGGCGTGACTGCTCGCGGCGGCCCTTCGCCCCCATTTAAATGAATCCGAGACACACACACCCCCGGTTAATAGCTAACCAAATTGCTCTCTTGTTGCCATTCTTGCCTTACCAGCGGATAAAAGATTTAAAAAACTCCTACAAACACAAAATGACTGCAGGCACTGATTATAAAGCATTTCATTACAATGAAGTTGCGGGCTTCCTATTAATAACGAGGGAGCACTTCAGCCTTAGACGTTACACCTACAATCATATCTTAAGGGCCTAACGGTACAGCAGCATTAGCCCAACCAAGGGCAGAAGTCTATTGCTCTCAAGGAAAAGAGACATTGGAGAGTGTTCGGGGAACGTACGAGAAGAGAAACGAGACGTCAAATATACGGGTGCAAGAGAGACGAGTCCTCAAATACGCGGGGTTCACAAGCGTGGGGGGCGTTGAACAATTCGAACCCGGTTTTGAGATCAAAGAACCCAGCCAGAATGTGAACCTGCAACTTCCCTGTCCTGCAGTCAACAGCTTCACGTTTGTCTTTCTGGAAGCTACCAAAACATGAGAAATGAGAAAGCTGTAAAAATGCGCTGTAAACATGCGCTAGAAACGGTCTATCAGATATATTTACTATATAATGAAAATATTAAGACAATAGCATATGCAAAGTGCAAAAAGAGGTTCTCCGGAGAACTTCATCAACAACAATTGTGATGATTTGGACCAATTTTTGCACTTCATCAACAACAATTGTGATTTGGACCTCTTTTTGTACTTTGTATATGCTATCCTCTTAATATTTACATTATATAGTGCTTAATACATCTAATAGACAGTTTCTAGCGCACGTTTACAGTTTTCTCGTTTCTCATGTTTTGGATTATCTGAGCTGTGGCTCTCTATTTTGGTTGGTTCCTGGAAGCTACAGCAATGCTGTTATTTGCGCTGAGAGGGTTTGGGTCTCAAAGCCAACCTTGGGTTGCCGGACTGACTATATGACCGACCAGGCGTGTGTGGTGGGCTCACTAGGGGACTTGAGACACCTCTCGCTTAGGTTGACCGGGACTGCAAAACCAGGGAGCACAACACTGGGAGTAAATCACTTGCCGGGCCACAGTGCATGGCTGCTGCACTGGGCTGGGCATTGTAGGCCACCAATAAGGGATGCCAAGTGTCCTGGGTGTGTTCCATACAAGAAACATTCCCGGTATAAGGCTTGCTGAAACAAACAGGGTGTGTGAGATGCATCCATTCCTGGCAGACCGCGCCTGTGGGATATGCAAACAAATGGTGAAGAAAACCTCAGCAAGAGACACAAACGCAGAGAAAAATGCCAGCGGGCGAGCGAGAGCGATAAAAAAATACTTCTGTTTCTCAGAATGTATTGTGAGGGGATAGAGCTCCTATTGTCCTTCCAAATACTCCCAATGTGTTTTAAGGGATCAAGCCCCTCTTGTTGTCTTTCCAAATACTCCCAAAGTGTTTTGAGGGATCAAACCCCTCTTAGTTGGGGGTTAAAAACGGAGAAAGGAGACATTGCCTCAAGGAGAATGATGCTGAAAGGAAGAAGATCCTCTCGCTTCCTTTGCTGGCCGGTCGCCTTTGGTGTTGCCCTTTTTGTGTCTCAAGAACAATGCCCGATACGCAGCTGCCATATCAAAGGAAATCTGCTTAACAGGCTGTCTGGAGCCCCTGGCAGATGTTTGGAATGGATGCACCGTACACAATAGGGATTGTTACTGGGGTTTGTATGAGCTAGAAAAACCAAGAGTACGGTTTGGCCCTACAGGTATTGGGATCCCCAGGGCAAAAAGGGAGGTGAGATTGAAAGCAGACACGGTCCCAATCCCCACCATGTACATGTTCTGTGTGTCTGCGCAGGAATACTGTAATCATAGGCTTGTGGAACACAGAACGTAACACTTGGTTGCATCTCTGTCCTTTCCACTCAACTGAAACACACACATGGAACTGAACTATTAAAATGGGGGGTACATGGGTATGGATAATGGACTCAAGCTCCCCTCAGACCCAGACATGGGGTACAAGTCACAGACCATCCTAATTTTAGAAGCACCATTTATTGGCCGTCTCAGCACATCTTTGCTAAGGGCGCTCACCTGGCCTTTCTATCCAAGAAACAAGCATAGGCATTCCCCTATCAAGATTGCATTGGATAAGCCAGAGTTGTTGTTCCTGGGTTTACTGAGGCAGTGGATATAAGAATGTCAAGAAACACCACCCATCCTAAGTGAATGGGTGATTTATAAATTAAGTTAGCAAAAATAAAATATAGAATAAAAGTACTTTGTGGATGCAGTCTAACAACATACAACCCTCTGTGTTTGACTCTATAATTCTCTGGCCGTTAAGTACACACAATTCGTTGTAGTGTTAGTCAAAAAGCAGCTCACAGATGTGTGCGCATGGGGGGGGATTTACAGATTTTAGGCAACAAGGTAGTTTCCCCATCTGGAAGCTACATAAATGTGGAACACATTATGCTATTGCTACGTTCATGAGAATCTGATATTTCATATTCGATACAGAGTGCCAGCTCTCGACAACATTTAACGCAGTCACGACGTAGTGTTATTACTTTGTGGATGTCTCATACGAATTAGCCAGCGGGGAGGGGGGGGGGATTATTGATCTTGACTAGCTATCAACCCAAGAGAGTTGTGAACCTTGCACATTTTTCTCCTAGCCCTCATAATAGGCACGTACAGTCTCTCAGAGCAGTACTGATTCATGCACTGACATTCCATCGGTCTGGTGTCTGTAGTGGTGGGAGGGGCCTGTAGGACCTGGATATCGATAATGCAGTGAGTCATGTTCTCCCATGGGTGGAGAAGTCCTGTATCTTATAGGGCCATCCACGGAAACGGTGGGAAGATCTTTTACAGGCATTGACTGGAAAGGGGTGTATTTCTTCAAGTTACCCGAATGACTTCGGCTACCCTCTTGGCTTCGTGATTGCCCATAAGCATCCTGTCTGTATATATGAGGAGGATCTGGCCTCCTTCTATTATCTTGCCAATAATCCACTGGAGGAATTACAAACCTGACACCTGTAGGCGATTTAGGATTGCTTGCATAGTTGTCAACAGGGCGAACCTCTATTCGACTAGAAGGTGTAACAATGAGATTCTGGTGACTGACAGAGTAATTTACATGCGGTTTATCAGTAAAGGTTTCTGTTGGAAGGCTAGGTGCATACGATCGACTGGGAGAGTTGGTTGAATGACCATGATTATACTGTGTGGGTATGAAGCTTGAGTGACCCACGTTGGGAACATGCTTTGGAGAATTCCCATGGTAAACAGGTGGGTTACTGTAAGATGGTGGTGGAGGTTTGGTGCTATGTCCAAGATCCGCCCCATCAGATTGAGAAGAATATTTGGGGACCCTTGGCTGTGTGCTGAAGGCATAGCTGTTGGATATTTTTGGTGGGCTAGATGTTTTCTCTGCCAGCTTCCTTGAACTGGTTGAGTAAGCTGCATTTCTGGGACTTTTTGGAAGGGTCCTCTCCAGCACCTCGTCTGCAGAATTTTCGTTCTCTAGATCAGCACCAGGAACGTTGTCATACTGCGAAGCATTCGACCCTCGCTTACCCTCGTCAACATCCAAAACCTTCATCTTTTGCTTTACATTGAAGAGCTGTGTGTCCCCAACAGGACTAGCAGGTGTTCCTGAACCAGTGTGGTTTGCAGGCCTACCACCCTTGATGTCCACAGTTAGTTTTGCGGTCTTTTCAACTATTTTAATATTGGAAGGTTTATTCCACCTGGGCACAAATTCCCTTCTTGCATTTGAAATCGCATTGGAATTTTGGTTTGCAGCTACATTGTGGTTTTGCTTGGCGTTGCCGGCCTCTGCTCGGTCAAGCTTTTTCCGGCTGTCGGTGTCGTTCTTTGGCAAATCGCCCCGCTTGTCTGCTGGTACAAGCTTCTGCTGTCTCAAAGAAGGCTTCTTTTCCAGAGAATTTCTTCTTCTTTCGTGATTGGGTGAGCTTTCCTGGACTTTCTCTGCAGGAACCCTTTGCTCTGTCAGCTGGACCTCCTGGGTACTGTTCAATCCACTGGCACTGCTCTGTCCGTTCAGCAGATGGGTAAGATTAAGAATAGCAGGCTGAGGTTCAAGCGGAATTTTCCCCATCTTCTTCTTTGGAAATTCATCATCTTTACCTAGAAGAATTAATAATAAAATAGATATTATATATACATATATAAAAATAAAGTAAAAAATTCCCTGCAGATCCTTCCTACGACAAACGATGCTTGTTATATTTTCCAGAACACATAAAACATATGAGATAAAGGGGGAAACGAGGAAAACTGCAGGGTTCAAAACTGAACTCACATCTTAATGAGGTCAGAGATTACAGCCGATGTAGCTTTACGCCTGGTACACACTCTTTTGACAGTAATACGAGCTGCAGGTGGTCAGCAACTTTGATATCGAAAGAACTCACTCAGGCATGCAAGAGCTGTCATAGGAATGCAAATCGAACTTGGGAGCCGATTTCCTGACCTTGTATGGTTTCAAAGATATAACAAGATCCTCAAAGCAATGCAGTTAAGTATTGTTCCCCAGGAACCGCGGCAGCTCATGGTCTAATTTTAAAAAAAAGAAAGACTCAACCCTGTTTCTAAGACTAAGATGATTATGACTTTGGACATGAGCAGGCATTCTATTCCAGGAGAAGTCTCTTGCACATGAGTACACCATCCCGCCTAACAGAACGGAAAAGGTATTGGAATTAACTGGGTTGTACAGCAGTTATATCGGCAAGCGTTATCTCTGTCTGATTCTAATCACTATCCTCTCTCCAAGAGCAGTCTGAGAAAGCATCTGATCCGTTCTCATAAAGAATGGAGGGGGGCAGGGGGGGAGTTCTATTAGATGGCCGGGAAGACCCTGTGTTCCAATAAATGTGATCATTTGTCACCTTCCGCCACAGGGAGGGAAAGAAGATTCGTGCGTTAACAAAAATCCACCGACGGGTTCAGAGCTCGGCCTGGAATCTTTCACATTTCTCTGGCTGGAACTACGTGGGAAGAGCCCCAACCTGGATGGCCCAAGCTAGCTCAGACTCATCAGACCTCGGAAGCGAAGCGGGGTCAGCCCTGGTGTGTACTTGGATGGGAGACCCCCAAAGAAGTCCAGGGTCGGTACGCAGAGTCAGGTGACGGCAAACCACCCATGTCCGTCTCTTGCCTCGAAAACCCTACGGAGTCTCCGTATGTCGGCCGCAACCTGATGGCACTTTCCGCTGCCACCGAGTGTGAGGACGTAGGCGTGGTTCGCACTGAACAACAGTTCCTACCTAGTTTCCCCACTTGACGACTTCACTGTGTTTCAGCACCACACCACGGTGCTGAGTGTTCACTGGCAGCCAATGACGCGGTGCCCTGGCAAGGAAGGGCTGATCTTTGTAACGTTAGGACAAGTCACTGTACTCAACATTATGGCACGGGGATCTGGATATCTCGCTGCCACTTTTGGTGGCAGCCACGTGCATACTGTAAGGTCTTGTTCCAGCCTTTGTTTAAATGCAAACCCCACGGAGGGCCTGCAATGTGATTATTTGGAAGGGGTGAGGAATCATGGAGTAAAGCAAGCAAAAGGTCTGGTAAACCACTTGCGGGGGCTGAATGGCTCAGACACAGTGGGCTTGGGAAGAAAAAGAAGAGATTGGATTTATACCCCCGCCCTTCACTCAGAGTCTCAGAGCAGCTTACAGTCTCCTCTCCCTTCCCTTCCCCACAACAGACACCCTGTGAGGAAGGTGGGGCTGAGAGAGCTCTGACAGAGAACTGCTCTTGAGAGAACAGCTCTGGGAGAACTGTGACTGACCCAAGGTCACCCAGATGGCTGCATGTGGAGGAGTTGGGAATCAAACCCGGTTCTCCAGATTAGAGTCCGCCGCTCTTAACCACTACACCAAACTGGCTCTCATAAAAGTGCCTTTTAGACAGGCCCCTAAAGGTAGCTAGTTTTTAGGCAAGAGGCAGCTAAGTTCCTCCCGCCCTCCCCTAAAAGAGGCCTGATGACAAGCCATCACCTTGTCCCCACTGCCCGTGTTCCTCTCTACCCCCCCCCCACAACTCCAAATGATTTTTCTCACTTTTATTGCCCCATACATTCCCCTCTTTCAGTTGGCATCCCTTGAGGGCTGAGTTCTCCCTGACAGTTGGAATTCTACCTGGATTCTACCAGTTGCTGGCTTCAGTTATTGAACATATGCGCCTGCGAAAGTCCCAAATTTGAGGGGAAAGGCAAATGAACCTGCTTTTTGACTTGGAGGGAGGCACTGCTCCACTCCAGTCCTCGTTTTTTACATGGGGAAAGTTAGCGGCAGATCTGAAATAAAAGCTTGTTTCGGGGGGGGGGGGGGGGTGGGAAAAAGTTTTGGGGGGGGGGGGGGGTGTCAAAGAAAGAAAGAAAGAAAGAAAAGAATATGTCAGCCTGGAAAGTCTTAATTATCGAGAGAAATCATAGCCTTGCGGCTCTCCTGAAAACACCTCTGTCACAAATTAATTTCTTTCAACCTTATAGCTCAAATTACTTTCTCGTTGTCACCGCCGGAACTACTGGTGCATTCAAAACCAACAGGGTGGTAAATAAAAGGGCTTTTTTTAAAAAAAAAAAGCACACCTCTACAAGAAATGCCACTTCTTAATGTTACACATCTGTTTCAAAACCTTTTCTGTTCTCAGCCGTATCTCGATAACATTGCTTAAAGTGCCCTCCCTGAAGGTACGTTATTAGATTAACTGTGTCGGTGACAAAGGAAGAGCTGGTTATGGAATTCCACTCATTCCACTCTGCGTTGTGCAAAGGACAGATCTTGTAGGAAGGCTAATGGCTACAAAATAATAATAAAAATAATAAAGCAGAATTTGCAGAGCTGGGTGCTTCTATCTGCAGTACTTCTTCAGAGACATGAGATCAAAGCAATCATCGCTGCACCGTTCAGAAAATGCATTACAGAGGCCAGGAACCACAGGTTGGATCACACCAATCCCCTCTGCTAGTGACACTGGTTTTCCCTTGACAAAAGAGGCCTTCCTCAGATATAGGAGGTTCTTCTGCCCACAGAGCAGACTCTCACACTAGCAAAAAAAACCCCACAGCTGAATCCAGCTCAATGCATGCTTTTTTTAACAGCGGAGAACATGACTCCATGTACCTCTACAGATACCCAAAGCATGTTTAAGTATCATGATACGTCTGGTTTATGTGTGCCATAACTTCTTCTCAAATGATTTCCTCATGCCCAAAACATCTGTGGGCTGGTGACTCACTCCACATTTGCAAATATGATAACTAGGTCTGGCCTTGCGTGATGAGCCAGGGAACAGGAAACCAGAAGTCACGGGAGGGAAAAGATGTCAAAAACATAAAACGGAAGACCCGCGTAGTCCGTTCAGACACCTGGTTGACAGGACTTGGAAGCGCTGCTGAAAAAGCGGACTACGGTTCAACTGATGTGGACAGAATTGCGTATGGTGTGCATATGTTCATGTGCCTCCTTGCTGGATGCATCTCTCATGAACACATGAAGCTGCCTTACACTGAATCAGACCACTGGCCCATTAAGGTCGGTATTGCCTACTCAGACAGGCAGCCGCTCTTCAGGGTCTCAGGGGGAGGTCTTTCACATCACCTACCGCCTGATCCTTTTTATAACTGGAGATGCCGAGGACTGAACCTGGGACCTTCTGTGTGCCAAGCAGATGCTCCACCACTGAGCCATGACCCCCTCCCCAAACACAGCTCAGGCCCCTGCACATACAGCAGCTTGTTTGCATGCGTGTGAAAAATGTGAATACACAGATGCTGTATATACAGCAGCATGTTTGTTTGTGTGCATGCGAGAATGTGAATGCACCACAAAAATATACATACGCAAGTGTGTGTGTATAGACAGACAGACTGCACAGATATGAAGCTCACTAGAATCTAATCTGATTGGCTATTGGCTCTCCACAGTCCCAGGCAGAGAGAAGTCTTTTTTCAACACCTGTTATCTGAGAACCTGTCGCTAGAGATGCCAGGGCCTGATCCTGGTATCTTATTGGCGAAAAGCACATGTATTGTCATTAAGCCACGGCCAGGTTACTGAGCCATGGCTGTGAAGCCCTGCGCTGCATGTTTCCACACCCTTTGCTGTTGTTTTTGCCATCAAGTCACGGCTGACGTATGGAGAACCCATGGGGCTTTCAAGGCAAGAGAGGTTCAGAGGTGGTCTGCCATTGCCTGCCACTGCATCACGACACTGGTATTCCTTGGTGGCCTCCCATCCAAAGGCTAGCCAGGGGCGGCCCCACTTAACCTCGGAGATTTGATGAGATCAGACTAGTTTGGGCTACCCGTGCCAGGGCTTCCATGCCCTACTCAGTAAGAACAGCCACAGATAACACCCACCAAGGGAAGACCATTGGAAGTGATTGAGCTGTGCCCTATGTTATCTTGGAAATCGGGTTCTGTTTTACCAGCCCCTGTTGAACATCATTGAAACGTCTTGATCTATACCCGGGAGAGGCGTACGGCTTTTTTTTTCCTTTCCGCAGTGGGCGTCTTCTGCCACAGTTACTTTCTCTGTTTTGAGGTCTATCGACACTATTCATGTCTGGAATTACAGAGGAGCCCACTGTTGGTTTTTAATACGTTCTTTTTGTAAATGATGCCTAATTGTTATGAGCCATCTGTTGGATATGTGTTTATGCATTCTGTTGGGTTATGACCACCAACCCATCCTTGTACTTTGGTGTAGAGTTTGGTGTAGTGGGTAAGAGCGCGGACTCTAAACTGGGAGAACCGGGTTTGATTCCCCACTCCTCCACTTGCAGCTGCTGGATGACCTTGGGCACGCGTAGTCCGTTCAGACACCTGGTTGACTTGGAAGCGCTGCTGAAAAAGCGGACTATGGCTCAACTGATGTGGACAGAATTGCGTATGGTGTGCATATGTTCCTGTGCCTCCTTGCCACTCTGAGACTCCAAGTGAAGGGCGGGGTATGAATCCAATCTCTTCTTCTTCTTACTTACTTTAATGAATGTAATATACAATTTTGATCATATATAGTTTTGAATTGTGGACGGTCTTCCCTTGGTGGGCATTGTCTGTGACTATACTTGTACGCGAAGGGTCCCCTATTGTCTCTGGCACTCCCCTGTAA